TTCTCAGCCTGTCTTCATACAGGAGGTGCTCCAGCCCCATCATCATCCTCATGGCCCTTCTCTGGACTTGCTCCAACAGCTCCATGTCCTTCTTATGCTGAAGACATCAGAACCACACACAGGACTCCAAGTGGGCTCCCAGATGTCATTCAGTCACTGGCAATGGATTCAGCAGGAATGTCAAGTTGTAAGCAAAGTTGTTGGAGTTGGAGTTGGCATTGGCTACCTTTTATTCTTCATGAGAGCTACCACTTAGCACGACACAGCACCCAGAGTTATTTATTAGCTTGTGGTGCTTCACTTGGCTTCAATTAATCCAACTGATGTAGCTGAGGAGCAGCCCTTGGGATGTGTCTTGCACCCTTCTGGGTTGCAAACATACCCTCCAGCAGTATTTGGGGAATATAGCTGTATCTCCTTAGGTACATCCTATGTGGCTCTGCATCATGCCCTGTAGGTTATGGAATCATAGAACCACAGAACAGTTTGGGTTGGAAGGGACCTTCAAAGATCATCTAGTCCAACACCCCTGCAATGAGCAGGGACAGGCTCAACTGTAGCAAGTTGCCCAGAACCACATCCATGCTGGCCTTGTATGTCTCCAGGGATGGTGCATCCAGCACCTTTCTATGTCCTTACTGGGTTTTGGGTTCAGATCTTGATCTCCTTCTGAAGAATGTCATATATTTATGGCACTGTAAAGCAACTAATGAATTGGATCAGCTGGGTTTCTAACACCCCAGTAACATTCTTCAGGTACCGCTTGCAAGATGAAGAAAACCAACAGAAACAAGGGCCAGCTTTTGCACAGGAGAAACTCACATGAGCAGTCCATGTGCCATTTGTTTCCTCAGATCAGTGGTGCTAAACACTACGTACTTTGGAAAAAAAACCCAATTATTTGAAAGATTCATAAATTAGAATAGCAAATACTAGAAGTCCTTTTTATTCTAATAATACAGTGTACATAAGCTGAATGAATGAACACAAAACAGTTCCCTATATAGTCAAGAAGCAAGCTATGATACTGAAAATATCCTCCACTGAATAGGTGCTTCTGGAAATCTACAAAAATAGAACAGATTTCTGTCACTATTACCCAGGCTGAGGTAGAACATGTTTATGTATATAATAACATAAGCATGGACGGCATTCTTCAGACATGAGACAACAAGACAATCTGGCTGGAGACAAAAGACACAGACAACAATATTGGCTTGTTAAAGAGTTTCGTCATTTTAGTCATTCCTTTCATAATTCAGCCCTGATAAGGCATAGGAATGGAGATGGATTAAGCAGAATTAGGAGATGAATTCAGAGTAAAATATATAAACTTCAAATAATGATTTGAAATAATGCAGCAGAGGAATGGATGAGATTGCAGATCTGGAAGCAAAAAGGCTGATGAAAATTAGAGGTTCATTATTCTCTGTAGTTAAAGATTAATTGTGTGATAGAAGTCGCAAATCCATTATCTCCTTTTAACAAAAGCTTATGGCCCGACTCTGCAAATTTTTGAGAAAGTGTAACTTCATATGTGTAAGTCAGACACATGTACCAGTTTTCAGACCTCATCCTGCAATGACCAGTAAGACTTTTACAAACTTCACAGTAAAGCCAGTCAGTTCTATCCAGCCTAACTTCTTCACAGTAGCACCAGCTAACAAATTCACTGCCCAATCTGTATTACCACTTAATTTAAAACAGCCTCAATACATTTTTACAATGAGGAGTATTACTTTCAAAATAGTTTTTGGCACAGTCAAGGAATAAATATTTTTTTCCTGCTGAAGTACACCACCTTGTATGCATTCACCTACATGGGGAAGTGCCACCTTTTTCACGTCCTCTGAAGCTGGTTACCAGCATACAAAGGTTTTACTGCAGACCAAAAGATCTAAAGCTGTAGGTCACTGGAGGATATTAAATGATAAGCAAATTCACATTTCTAAAGTAATTCTACCCATTTATTAGCAATGCTAGCTCCTGTTTCACAGTAGGGGAGATAATAACGAAGCCTTGTTAAAGGGCAATGCGGTATCTTTTATGTGATGTCTTTTTTTCATTTGTGATAAAGTCATTAAAGCAGCACTGTGTCTTCTTGAAGCCTCAAACAACAGTCTGCATTAAATCTCCTGTGCAAAATTAAGGACAGTAGTTCACTGGGAAAATAAGCATCTGTTCTTGCTAATCCTGATGGCCTTCTAAAAATCATGAAACTACTCTAAATTGGCGACGATAAAACAAAGCAGAACTCTTTTAACTTTTCCAAAGAAAAGTGAAAATCCATTTCTCTTGTAAATACTTCTTTGTTCCAAATCTGCCTAGTAACCTCTGCTTAATAACCTCTACCTCATACGGCATGCTTCCCTTTATGGGCTCGCCTAAATCCCATTCTCCCACAATCACCTAGCTTGAGCTCAGTGTCTTTTGAACTCGGGTTGGTAAAGGTTTGTCTACACTGCATCAATGGAGGCTGTAGCTCCTGAGCCCTGACCACCTCCCCTCTAGTCACAGGCTCAAGGGAACTGCTGCATGATACATAGCTGAAACACAGGTATCAGCTCCAGTTTCCTCTGGCCTCAGCTGAAGACTGAACTGGTTTGCAGTGGGAATAGCTGACACAACGAACATGGAAACTGTGCTCTCTGGTCTGATCACTCAGCCCTCGCCACCCTGGTTGAGGGCCACTGGTGCTTCAGGCTCTGTTGGTTTCACCCCTTCACAACTGACACAGCCTTCAGGATCCCATAACCACAGATGAAACTTTCTTTTCAATAACCCTTAAATGATGTCTCACTTCTGCCCTAGCAGCAAACCTAGAGCCAACAGCGATACCAAGCACGAACAGCAGAAAAACCCAGCTGTCTTCCTACAGGTTTTGGACAAGTTTGACTAGTCTGGCCTGGTGTTCAGTGCCCTAAGTGATGAAGCTTTGGACACTACCTTCAGAACACTCAAAATGCCTTCTTAGATTGCAAATTTTCAAATCAGAAATCACATCTCCCTGTATACCCATACACCATGATGGAGGTGCAACACTAGGGACTTTGGGCACTAGAACAACATAAACAGACATTTTAATTTCAAATTCATGCTACTTGGATCGCACTTTAGTTCCCATTCTATACTTCCTAGCTATGATATTCATCTTCCGAAACAGCTCCACATGCTGTTTTCAGTAATCACATCCTTCAAACAGTTGTCCCTGTTATGTCTACCAATACCTAGATATTCAAAACAGTCTCCAAAGCACACACTAAACATCTGTTTCAACCACCTTTTCCTTCAGAGTTTAAGCTGTTTGGTGGAAAATTGCCATGCTAATGGCTAGCTCCTCTGTTAGTGAACTGGAGAATTCATTTTGTATTTATTGATTGTTCCCTAATGAAGAGTCATAAAGGTGCCAGAGACTCTTGACCAGACACTATTTAATTAGTACCAAAGCACATAAAATCCCAAATCCAACCAAACTCGTTATTCAACTGCTCAGTCACTGGAAAAGAAAATGATGACATCATTTTCAGCTTACAGAGAAGTCCATAAAATTTTATTAAAAAAACCCTAAGGAAATTAAAAGATTTATAAATTGCTCATTTCCTTCCAGTTCCTCGGACACCAAAGAGGTCTTCCAGAATCAAATCACACTTTGCTAAAGGAAGTATTCTCCATAAAGGACCCAGCAATATGCATAGACTTTATTTTAAATGAGACAAAGGCAAATGCCAATAAAATATTTGTCTTCTCAACAATACAGGGAAAGGTTTATGTTACATACAAAGGACATAATGCAAAGCATCCTTAAGGTATTAAAAATTATCTTTAATGGATCTGTCTTTTCATCATCGTGTTTCATACAATAGTCCACATTTTATGTTGCCTTAAATTATGTTGTACTGGTGCATTTTCTGAGGGTACTTGCTCTCAAGAAGGCAGAACGATGAGCAAGAACTCCATTAAATGCTCTTTCTTCCCTTCTCAAACTTAAACCCTCAAAACCATTCTGAATAACTGGTATCTCTTTGCAAGTCTCAAATTAAGTCATTATGAAAGTTAATTCCCTCTCTTTCATATCATGTAAATTCTCAAATAATTGAGAAAATAGCAGGAAGGAAAAAAAAGGACAACAGAAGGAAAGTAAAAGCCCATTCTCTACACGGTGATAGCACTGCTGCCTCTAGTATGCTCTCTGCTTGTTGAAGGCATCTGTCTTCAGAGCAGTAAGGCAGCTTGGATTCTTTGGGATAACATAAGATGCACACAAAGAAACAAAGATTCATGATAACACAAAACCCATTAACTACAGCTGCCCTCATATTAATGCACAATTACTACCACGTATGTAAGAAAATACCCTTAATGTGTCTGAAAACGTAGTCTTCCATTTTCCTGGAATCGACCACCCCAAAGCCAAACACTTGTTCTGAAAAAAACTCAAAATCCTGTTCACGATCTCTATACTGTATTCAACAGTCAATGTGACACCAGCTTTAACCATCTGAAACATCTAGCCCTCTTAGCATAATGATAAACCAGAGTATTCCACCAGAAAGAAAGCAGGTTTACACAAACAGAAAATGGACTGGGACATGCATATAAACAGTGAAGCAACCGCAGTACATATCCCAAGGAGGCAGAACAGCAAAGACATGTATAGGGTTCTCAGACATGAATTTTGCTTCTTTGCAATAATCCATTATTCCTTCCTGTTTTTACAAACTGCCCCTTTTTTAATAATCAGGAATTTACACCAACAGCATCATGGCTATCCTAGACAATTTCAGTAAGTCTTCTACAGACTCTTGGTTTGTGTTCCCAGCAGATGAGACTGGATGCTCACCAGTACATCTTTCAAGAAAATGTGCTCTAAAAGAGTAGACATGAAGAGAAACACAGAAAATAAAATGACAGTAAAACAGGAGGAACAGCTAAGTACAGAGAAGCTCAGGAAGAGTCACCAGCATGCTACAGAGTGAGGCCACACAGAAACCTCTGCTTACCCCCTGCTCGGATTCCAGCAGCTCTGTTTTGACTCTGACTGCCGGCATCCCATCAAGCATTAACATTCTGTTCTCAAAGGCGCTGATGTCCTAAGGCAAAAAAGGACAAGGTTAATCAAAAAAGTGATGAAAACACTCAGTTTAATTCACTGGTTTAGTTCTACAATATTGCAGATGTTTCTTTTAACAGAAATGAAGTTAACGAAGATGTAATATTTATTTCAAGGAGTAACTGCCAAGTGACTACTTCTGTTAAAACAGCAAGTTATACCTCCAGTTATCCTTAAAAGAGAACTAAATCTTTTTAAGCAACAAGGGAAAAATCATCTCCAATTACTATTTTTTAACTTGAAATTAATCATGCAGGTGCATGTATATAAATTCCTTGCTTTAGAACTGGAAAGGAAAGGAGTGTTGTGAAATAGCTTTGGGGTTTTGGCAGTGTACTTGGGTATATTTGTTTTCAGTCAAAATATTTGTATTTCTGTATTACCTAGAGAAAGCATAAGCTTGAATTCAGAGAAGTTATAGTGAAGGCCTTTGCACACACACATCATAAATTAACATACATCTACAACTCTTCAGACCTCGTATCACTGTCTTGTGAAGCTATAAGCATTAGTGAAAATCTCTACAAACACCTCTGACACAAGAGAAGTAAAAAAACATGTTAAAAACATGCATTGTCCTTGTAGTAATAAGAAGTATAGGGTAAAGGTTTCAATCTGAAGAGCGTTTAGCAGAACTCTGCTTCTCTGAATCCATATCCCTGTGATGAACATCTCATCCCACCGTTGCTGGAGTAGTTTATGGAGACATGCAAAACTACCTCCTATGCCTTCAGTTCAAACACTACCTCAACCTGAGTCAATATTCTATTCCAGCCAAGGCTCAAGGCTGCTCTTTGAAAGCTAACCCCTTCAGCTGCCATTTAGTTTGGACAACAGAGAGAGGATAAAAGACATTTTATCCTTCAAGCTAGAGTCTGACCTTACGAATGCAGACACCTTGGTCAGCGGTACGGAAATCCAAAGACGCCACAGCTATTTTTCAAACAGTAAAACTACAGCATGTTCTGCATGTAAGTGATTCACTCACAGCACTTACTGATCTGCAGCCCTGTCTCGAAGGCAGCACTCAGGCCTGGAAAATCACCTCCACTCTGTTACCTTGTAGTCCTCAATAACCACACCGTAAAGGGAAAACACTTTCCCTGTGTTGCGTGGGCAGCAGATCTGTTCAGTGCTTCATGCTGCTGTTATTCATAAAGAATATGTTCATAGCCCTGTTTCTTGTCATGGCTGCTTCAGAGGAGTTCTCAGAAGAATGGTCTGTCCTAATGGAGCTTCCAAAATACTTTTTAAAAACTTAAATTACACAAAACATTTTCCTTTAAAAAAAAAAAATCAATGCATTTCATTTTCACAGTTATAAGGATTGTAGCAACTGCTTATTTTTGTATACTCCTTTACTTTATTGTCATTTAAATAACATGCCAAGGCAGGCAAACTGATACGTCCGTGCTCCGCAGAGCAAATGACCTGCTTAAAATCCCCGTCACCCTCACTTTGAACCCCATGTGTTACAGCACACAGAGCCACGGTTTGATACCACAGGGCAGGCAAGAACTTCATGCCAAAGCAGACAAGCAAAGGCAACAGCAAATGTAATCTCTATATTTTTTTCCTTTAAAAAGTTGATTTAGATAGTTCATAAAAAGCTCTAAATGCTTAAGTTACAAAATTTCAGATCAAGTAAGTAATTTTCAGTGGAAAGCCTCCACATTCAAACGTGTGAATGAAGACGAGCTAAGTTGTCAAAATGCCCTGGTCCATGCTATGCTACCACTGTGTATTTCCTGTGATTTAAGCTTAACAATAGGAAGACGGGAAATAAAAAAAAAGGGGGGGGGGGGGGGGGGGAAGCAACAAGCTCTTCCTATGTCTTCTTTGTGATTTATTCTGTGCATCTTGGCTTTTATTCAGTGTTCGAGGCATGAGGGTGGGGAAAGAATAGGAAGGGCTCCAATGCCACAAAACAGCTGGCTGAAATTGTTCCATGCTTTACATCCCTCTTCCCAGCAAGGGTGGTGCTCTGTTTATTTATCAGAAGTGGATCTCCTCGGGTGTCACTGAGTTCCAGCACTTTGGATGTGGTTTGGGGTGGAGCAAGAGCAGGAGCCAGCCTGGCATTCCTGGTTCCCCCAGTGCCTATTCTGCAACCAGAAAGGTCCCTCTCCCTGGTTGATTTATACACAGCACAGTTGAATTTTACAGCAGGATCAGGAATACCCCATCATCAAGCATCCCTTAGGCTGTTTAGCTCCTAGACAAAGAAGGATGAGCTGATACTGCTTTGTGTCCCTGAGGAGGTCTTACCCGCCTGAACGAAGGGACCAGGCTGGCTTGTCCAGGAGGCGCAGGCAGAAGGAGGGGGAAAGACAAAGCACCACTGAGGAAAGGCATGTTTAATGAACTGTTAGAATCTGATTAGAGGCTAATGTCCCTTTTAGTGCTTTGTACCAATTTACAGCTGATATACTTGAACCATTTTTCCCCACTGGCTGTGATAAACTCATTAGTTTTAAAAATGCAAGCTAACCAGAGCCTTTGAAGTTTAAAACTGATAAATCATGAAAACCTGACTAGTTCATGTACCATTTAACACATTTACATTTAACTAAATTTTCATAGCACTCGCTTCCCCTTTTGTTCTCTAAAACCATATTTCTTAAAAGCAGCACTCTGTGTTCCGAGTGCTTATCTGAAGAGTGAATGTAGTGAGTAGCTCTGGCTTTTGGGTTACTTATAATTCAGAGTAGCAATAATCATACAAGTAGATTGTTTCCAAACTATCTGATCCCTTCTGCATTGCTAACTGGAACACCATTGTGTGACACAGCCTGGGGAGCCACTGCCTGGTAATAGCTGAGTAGACGGATCCAGTCTGTGTGCTATACACATGGATGACACGTTTAGCCTAATATTTGCCCAGAGAGCTCATATTTCCAAGCTGTGCTCTCCTGCCATATCCAGCGTTTGTGCTACAGTATGTCCAAAGCCATTTGGCAAATAGGATGCAGTAGCTGTGGTTTGTGTATCTAAAGCATCCCTATGGGGCTGGGGGTGTGAACTGAGCTCCCTCAGGAGCCTCTCCGGTCAGCTGGTCAGATGGAACATCCACACCTGAGTGAGGCCAGGTGCTCCAGTGTCCCACATTAACTGATGACACTCAGGAGACCCACCAGCTGAGACTGGTGATATAATGTATTGCACCAATGTGTTCTTCAGGCCACAATCCCCTCTGGCTCACTCAACTCTCTTCATCAACTGTAGCAGCTAACTTCCAGCTCCCAACATTGCCCAGGTGAAGGTGACCTGACAGCTCGCTCTTCTCTGTTCTCCTACCTCCCACCCCTACCCACCTAATGTAATCCAGTCACCCACCTAGGTAAAACACATAGCTGATACATGTCCTAAACCGGGCATGTAATCAAGCCAAATACTTCATGACCTTACCAAAACTTCTGTTCCCTTGGATCAGTAAACTAGTTCACCCTGAAAGAGATCAACCTCTCTTTCTTGGTGCCATCCATTAGAGTCCTTCACTAATCACTTTTGGGCATTTACTCCCTTGAAAGATTAATTAAAAACACAAATCATACCCATGTCCGTATGGGCAACTGCTATTAGAGTAGTTATTACAGAAGACTGATAAGCTCTCAGGCTTACAAACTCTTCTTCTGAGGAGTTATGGCAATCAGTCTAATAACAAGACTCTCACTCCTCCTAAAAGGCCTACATTTCCAGTACAGCATCCCTGCAACTACAACTGACATTTTCTTAATGGGTTGTCTTTCTGTTGCAAGTTTTAATCAAGTTATCTTCAGCTACTTCAGAAGAAGATAAAATTAAACTGCGTATCTAATCCTGGTACAAATCCACCCCAGCATCCTGTAGTACTTATTTAATTATAAATTATACCATTATGAAATTTGGCTCCAGACTTGATTTGGGGAAAATTTATTTAATATGCTGCCAATTAAAAAACAGTTGGATGGTGAGATATGAAAACAATAACTATAACACGTTCCCCCCAGGCCCCACTTCATTCCAAGTATTCCTTTACTTTTCTGTACAAACTTAACCTCTAACATAGCACACTTTCAATATTGAGAAATGATCAACTGGGGGAAAGGCAGTCTCAAATTCAACACTCAAGCTGCAGCAAAAAGTTTCAAGTTTAAGGGGAGTAGGTTTGAGTAGCTAATAGCCAAGAACAGCCCTTAAGCAGTCTTTCTGTTGCAAAGCTATGACTTAACAACCTTCCCTACCTCATACTCTACTCAGTTTTATACAAGTTCTCCACACATTTAGTAATTTCTTAATTCATCATTGTATTCTCATTTTATGGTTCCAAAATTACTTCTGTGAAAAGTGGTTTTGACAGAAACACAAATTTTGAAGTTTTCCTTTTTCATACAAGTATCCTAGAAACACCACTGAACTAACCACAAGTAGCCTGCATCACTTGTAGCAATAAGACTACCTTGTTGATTTTTCTGAACACGAATGCCGAAATTTATGTTATTCTCATTACTTACTTACACTACCATACTGAAGTCATCCATCAGTCAAAGCAACAGCATACCATCTCAAGGCAAAAAAATCTGAAGTGATCTACTGAAAGCAAAGCTTTTGAAGATAAGACAGATCCTTTTAAGGATACAACTATGTAAGATTTCCAAAGTCTGAAATTGCTTTTTCTCTTTGTTTCAAAGGACAACAGAAGAAGGGAAGACTACCACCCCTTCTCAAATAAAACTATCTCAATAGGGAAAAGAAGCCAAGGAGAATGTTTTCCTTCAAAATTCCCAAAGGAAAGCATCACTGTTTTTTACTATGTCAGTCTCCTGAAGACCTTTATATACCATACAATGAGATTTGTTAGTCACTTAAATGTAGTTATCTCTAGGGTGAAGCATAGCAGTTAACATTGCCACAGTATGTATAAAAGCCGTTCATTCCAAAAGTGAAGGAAACAACTATCTAATAGAAAATAAAAGTAAATTTATGTGGCTAGTAGATAAT